ATCTGTGTCCACTTTAAAAAGCTGCTTAAGTGTGCATTCAAACAAGTTGTCAGTACTAAGAAATTCAGCGTATCCTCCAAGGTTGAACAGAATGGAAGTTGTTAAACTGTGAATGTAATGTAACTGTAAAAACACAAATAAGTGAGTGAAATTCAAACTTCCATTTTGCCATCTCTACTACAAATAAACAGTCGTAGTGATGGCCTCCTTAAGCACTGTATTGTAAGTTTGCATTGAAACTGGGACACATTAGTGCCCAGCTCACTTGAGGTCTCTCCATTATTCACTGTCTCATCATCTCTGAGCCATTATGAAAGCCTCATGTACTCAGCAGCACTCATCTGATCATGGCTGACACACACTCTCCAAACCTCCTCTATTCTATTCCTTTCTGTGGAGAGAGCACAGGCCGAGTTAAACTTTTAGTACTTATAGCTTTTTACTGTCTGGTGACTTTGAACCATTTATATGAAGACTGTAAGGGACAGGAAGGACATAATTGGAATTGGGAGGTGGGCTTAAAATTGTATTTTCATTTTGTAAGTCAGGTTTAGACCGACTGTAACAAGACAAAAGTCTATTGAAATCCCAGAGAAAAGTTGCAGCAGCACAAACTTGCCTGTCTTGGTTACGTTCCAAAAAAACAATTAAAACATTTACATCACTGCCCAAGACTGTTTGAATGATTGGGTTTGAATCCTGCATCTCTGCTCTTCTTTGTGAATGAAGCTCAGCCCTGCCGTATGCCGCGCTGTATGCTGTCGGCCAAATCCACCACACAGACCGAAAGCCGACATAGTACAGTCTGGTGATGACAGGGTTAACGTCGATCAGTGTTAGATGTTGTGAGTGAATTTGTCCTCCACAAATCTTTTGTCTGAACTTGCCTTATTTAGTAAGACCCTCTCAGCTGTATTGTTATTGTCTTTGAACTCTGTCCTTGACCTAAAGCAGTGGTTCTCAACTGGTGGGTTGGGACCAAAAGTGGGTCGCGGAGCCGTTTTCAGTGGCTCGCGAACGTGTGACTGGAAAAAAAAAGTGTCAAAAAGTCTATCAAGCCCTTTTAAAACTTGTTGGTTTTGTTCCTTCTCTTTGTTCCGTCACATGTTTCGTACCATCTGAGGTCCGAATTGCACTATTTTTCATTCAATAATTCTGATTGGTTGAAAGAATATGAGAAATTTGGGTCACGATTTTCATGAAGGAGTTGGTGGTGGGTCCTTAGGCTGGACCAGTTGAGAAACGCTGACCTAAAGAACTGCAATGCTGGATTGCTTCTCTTTAGCACACAAACAGAATACTGCTCTTCTCTGACCCTTTCCTTCCTTTGACTTTCATACAGGACTACATTTTCATGAGGTACTTGTGTCTATTCAAGTTGACAATAGATTTTCCTTAATGGTGACAAGACTTTAGTTTGAAACTCTAATATATATATATTCTTAAATGTTGCTGCTCATAACAATACCACTACAGTTTTTGACTATTCTGCACTCTCCAATCTTTACCTGCTGACTGACTCTGGCAAACTCTGTAACAAGATATGATGCACAAAGACTCGCAACACTACAGCTCCCAAAGATATACGGTAATTATTTATTTGCAAATAATACGTTCATCTTTGGCAACCATTGTTTTTTTTTCAACTCAGAACCTGAATAAGTGCGTGTGGATGCTGTTTTTTTCAAAGCTCTGTAACAATGCATTATGTAAAAACTCTTCATTTTGTAATAATCTGCTGCATTTTGTAATAATTTACATATTGCAGCAAGTATTACAAAATGCGGGAGTTGCACTTTTTATTTTACAAACATGTTATTGTGGTGCATTATGTTATAACTGACCAGAAAGGATGTCTTCATTCATAAAATCCATATAACTTCTTAACATTCTTGTTATGCTTTCTAGCATGAATCATAGCCTCAGATCACTTTAAAAAGATGCTTTTACTTCAGCATATTAGCATAGCTTCACAGATACTCGAGGGTTCATAGAGACGTAGAGAAACTGCACAGCACTGCGTTATAGAGGCAGATCATTACAAAATGCAAGAGTTAAGTGAAAATGTATAACGTTTTGTCGGGTTATTACATAATGTGTTGTTCAAAGCTGGCGCCTTTGTGTGATGATATATGATGTCAACAACATAAAGGCATTCAGATGGCCTTCACTTAAGTGGGGAACTACATACACACTGCTCTACTGGCTGCACTGGTAATGGACACAGATAGGCTCCATTCTTTCCTGCATGGCATCATAGTGTAATGTCAGCCTCTTTCATCACACTGCCCATTCCTCACAGGATTAGACCACCGGGCCATGTAAGACCCTGTCCAAATTAAGCTTGTCTACCATGCAAGCAAAAAAAAAAACTAGAATGCTGTTTCCATACTTTCATTAAATAGAGCTCGTTGTTCTGTATAGTGCAACTTGTAAAAGAAGAATGCAATACATGCAGTCAAGCTTAATGTTATTAGGAAGAGTACGAGTAAGAGTACTCCAGATGAAGCAGTGCAGTCCTTTGCTTTGCGAGTCTTGTAGATGACTATAGTTTAAAGCAGAGATTATTAGAGCTATGGAGGTCTGATGGGTTCACTTCTCTCAAACTTTAAACCGCTGACTTACGCTGGTTGCTTTGTTGCCTCTGTCTATTTGTCTGTCTCTCTTTATCTAGTGTTCTCCCTTCTTGTCTTTTTTCATGGCACATGGCTGTTCACCAATGAGTCGGGTTCCGCTCGAGGTTTCTACCTGTTATCTTTGACCCAGTTGCCAAGTGCTTACACAAAGTGGATCAAATCTTTGGTCTCTCTCCATAACATTAAAAAACAGAACAGACTCCTTTTTGGTTGACTGGTTCTGATTTTATCACATCATTTCAGGACATTCATCAGACTTTACACAGCTCCCTCTGGAGCCACAAAGAGTTTTTTTTTACAACTTGTCTTTACATGTGTAGTGGTGGTACTTTCCAATACTTACAAACATCATTGATGTGACAACTATGCAGAGTTCTTCTTGCACTCCGGATTGGTTTCCCCTCTCTCTGACCTCAAGCACCGAATTCTTCCATTTTTCAATCACCTCCAAAGTGAGTTTGAGATTTTACAGTTTTGGACAGTTCTTCTCTCATTAAAGGCTTACAAAGATCCACTCACCGCAGGCGGCAGCTTATCTGATCCAGACAGCCGCCCAGCAGACCCTTCTGGTCTGATAAAATAAAATCCCAGCTCTCACCTCTCTGCACACCTGACACTTGTTAGAGACTTGCTGGATTTCACTCAAGTATTGATTATTTGGGCTCGGTGTGGTATTGTGCATCATTTATCCTTTGTAGTATCGTGTCCAGGTTTGCTTCAAATACCATCATTTCAGAGGAGGTGGGAACTTGCCTCGGGTTGTGAGTCTGTGTCTTTGTGTTTCTTCCACAAAAGCCAATGATAGTTTGATAAAGAAGGTCATTAAAGTGTCATTAGGCAGTGAGTTCTAAGGCGTCGGGCACCTGCAGATAAAAATGTGGCCACCGAAAGCTGGATACTTGCACAGGGCTGAAAGGCAGACCCTAAATGAACTCCTTAGAGAGACTGCACTGCAAGCTAGACAACCCTCACACTCAGAAGAGATACACCTTCTTCACCCATTCAGAACTCTTTCTTTGTGTTTCTCCCCCATCATTCTGCTTTTATCCTCCTAACAGTCAATCCCAAAATCCCCAGAGTACAACTAACATCAGTAAAAGCTTCCTACCTCCTCATCCATGCTCCACTGACACAATCCTTCACAGCCCACACAAACCATCGATTTGATACTCATACAGCTATTGCGTTGTAGCTCTCATACAAGCGCCTTTTGTTTTCTCGCTGACCATGAGGCTGCTACCCTTGAAAGCAGGAAACCAGACATCTCCTGAAATCAATAAAGCGTAATAAAAGATATGTTTGTTGTGTTTTTTCTCACTAGGACAAGTTCAAGCTATCCCAGTAACCATAGCTCTCCAAAGCTAAAACAAGTATGACACCTGGCATTGTAATGGAAATCTAGCAGGCACTCAGAATGACTAAGAGCAGCAATGATAGCCTGTAGCGCAGTCGATAACTGCTTGGCAGCACGGGCTGGGAAACCTGACTCAATGTGTAAAAGTGAGCCACTCACTCTTGCTGCATGGGAGCTGAAGATAGCGCCTAAGAAAGCTGATCACAGCAAGTGCAGGGAGAGGGTTCTTTTACCAAACAACAAGTATGAGGAGTGCACATGGATTAAAGAGGCATTAATCATTTCTATAAGAAGTATCTGTCAATTAAAAGTTTGAGCTTTTGTTGTTCAATATATAAGAGCTCTGTTCTGCCATTGTTCAACTTACTAATAACTAGGTCGTGATTTATTTTGAAGAGTAAAGCAAGACAACAAGTCCTCATTCTCTTTGAGAAGGGATGTACTTCAGCATCGATAAACTGTCAGAATTACACACTTGAATCACAATAAAGCTGCTTTGTGCAAACCTCTACTGCCATCAAGTGGCTGTTAGTAAGCACATCAACAAGTCTCACCATGGGGACAATTAAGGATTGGATCAATCCAGGAGTAATCAACCTGTAGACAAGAAATCCAAACAGTTTTCTCTGGGAATTATTGCTCTTGTAAGAAGTACTTCCAAATAAAACAAATACAGTGAGATGTGTGAATCATTCAGTTTAACAAGAATCGCTGTCTTTTCAATGCAGGGAGAATGACACTTTATAATCTGTTAGCTTCCATCGAACGTGTTTGTGAGCAATATCTCCAACTGACTAAATGTAACAAAAACCTACCTGTATGTTCATTAGAGAGCAAGAAACCTTTTCAAATATATATATTTTTAATTGTTTTTCTTGAGAATAAACATGTGATGTAATATGTTTAAATACATGTATTTTTTTGTGCTAAATCTTCCCCCCAACTGTCTTTATTTATAGGATGTTCTCTGTCTGACCACTCTGTCCTTTCTGTGTCTTTCTCCCTTGCAGTGTTCATCATGGCCGCCGGACTGCTGGTCTACCCCTTCGGCCTCAACTCGTCACTTGTCAGGTCATTCTGCGGGGACTCAGACATCTACTACGCTGGAGAATGCCAGATCGGCTGGGGCTACATGCTGGCTATTGTTGGGGTCATGCTCACTGTCTTCTTGCCCTTTTTTGCCAAATATGCACCGAAGGAGCAGCTGTCCCCCACCCCTCTGCCCACGCTATTATAGTGCAGGGACATCAATTAGTTTCCGTCCTGATAACTCTCTCTGACCTGGGCTTGATGTCATGGAGAGATGCCTGTATTCTATTTTTAAGGTGATGCTCATTTGGAAGCCTCGCTCAGTAACAAAAAATACAGTCAAAATGCATCTGTTATGGAATTAATTCAAAATAAGTTGATTTAAATGGAATGTTTTATGTCAACATACTGTGTGGTTATGATTTTTAAACCCCTAATCTGTCATGAGATTTCTGATGTTCTACTTGTTTTGTTTCTCCATGTAAGCTCTGGAGATAATGTGTTCAAAAAATTGTGATCTGATTTTATTTTATTTGAAAAATGACCACACATTTAAGCAAAACAAAGTTTCCTTCTTTACTTTGGTGGATTACAAGTCAATATGTAAAACATTCCAAAACAGACTGTAAGTTGGCTGCCGAAGACAGTGGGAGCATGAGACAATGCAGCAATATATGACCTGTCAATCAAAAGAGGTTTTGAGGAACATTTGTACTCAATGGAAGAACTGCTTTGAATGGCTTAACATTGAGTAGAGTTGACTTGAGTTGCATCGTACTGAAGCCTTTGGATTATACATATGGTCTGGATTTGTTACATCTGACTTTTCAGAATAAAACACAGGAAAGAGAAAAATGTTTGGTGCTTTGAAGGATATTTTGTTTGTCAGACTTTTTTGCCATGCAGTCTTGTGACCCGGCGGTGAACCAGTGGGAGTCATGAAGATGTTTAAGCTTTCAAAGATGTTGCATTTAGTAACTCTCACCAAGAAATGACACCGTGTTTGACAAAACGTTTGAAAAAAAAACAAAAAAAAACGAATGGAAATCTCTTCCAGTAACAGTGAAGTGTCTCATAATAATAAGTTGTGGTTTCACTGCAGTGTTGTCAAAATGTTATGTTGGGATTCTTCATCCTTTTGTCAACCTTTTCCCTAGAACTACATGTGAAATTGTGTAACTGGCTCGTTGAAACAAAAGCAATTTATTTCTGTCTCCAACACAAATACTAAACATGAATATAATTCAGGAAAAAAAAAGGATTGCAAAAGGCAGGGAGGCGTATGAATTGTGTCAAAAAAGTGCATGTTAAGATGGGCTTTGTTAATGGTAGAACAATTGATCTAGATTTTAAATGTGATCTGACCAACTTGTGCCTTTTAACATAACCAAGACAAGTGTTCAATACAATAATCAGGTTGTCATCTCTTTCTGTTTGAAAACTGTGGATCCTGTTGTGTGCTGTGTTCTTTTTCTACTACATATTTTCCTCTCAGAGGTGAAGTGTTACTTGATGCAGTATGATCTCATTAAATTGAGCAAATGTTCTGGGGGATAAAAAAGATGATGTCTTCTAATCCTTGGAGGTAATAACAGAGAGAAGAAAAAAAAGAAAAATCAGTGTACTTGTGTTCAATTATGACCGGAGACATTTTTGCCAATTACGCAGGAGAAGTAAGTTGAATTGCTATAATAAAAGGTTGTGACATGCAGCTAACAGATTCATTCTTGGAACCCTTGTCTTAATATGATTTATAAATTGAGTGGAGGAGGAAGAAGCTGTGCTAATTGAACTTTCCTCTTGGTTATCTGTGCAGAGCCGACACATTATTAACATTATGTGTGAAATGTGGCTGAAAATAATTAACTCGTTGACTAAGCTAATGTGTTGCTGTGTTTTTTTCATCAACCCACCTCTCCTTTTAAGCGCTGGCACCATTCCTGTCATGTTCCAAGGACAAAATGTTTCCACTTACTGTCCCTGTACACTGCCAATTTCATTGAGCTCGACTCCCTTTTTTAGTGGGTGTTTATGTGAGTATTAGTGCTAAATAATGGGTTGGTATTTGCTGATGGTTAAACTTTAATATTTCCCAAATTCTGTTCCCATATTGACATTTCCTGACATAAAAAAGAACTGTGATTATGTTGCCATATCTGAAAGGTCAGGAGAGAATTGTTGGTATTGTATTGGACCTCATACTGTGCTTGACTTTGGGAATGACTGGTGTGACTGCACTGGACTTCTTCCTTTCTTTGTTGAACTTTTCTGTGTAAAGTCAAAGCACTGGTGAAATTTTTTTTAAATGTGGACTAGCGTTATTGTTTATTCCCCATTGTGATGTTTGACTGTAAATAAACTAACTGTTCTTGATCTCACGTTATTCTTAACTGCCCCGTTTTTCAAAGATATATTTTGAGATATGACCTCATCGTGTTTGCTTTACATGAATTAACCTCCAAACAATGTTTGCTGTTCTGTGAATTTTCTTTGTAATAAAACATTCCAGTTGAACAAAAAAGAGGCTTGACTATGACTTCAAGTTTGAATGAAACAACGGTTTATGTTTGTGTTTATTACAAATATCAGAACATGCAAGTGAACTTGTCATTTAGATGAACAACAGAATCATTGCAACTCTTTGAAAGTTAAATAATACCTAAAACATGCTTTTTAAGACAACTAGTATTTCTCACCATAACAAGAGTTATCGATTATTGATGTTATCTATTTAATGTGTCCCTCATTTCCCCTCTTCAAATACTACTCGACTTTGCTAAGATTCCTGCCGATGGTCAGACTTCACTCAGTGATTTGACCAGTGCCCTCATTTCTGCATCGCAGGCTTTGACGGCCTCCTGAGCGTTTCTCACCTCTGAGGGGAGGCCGGGTCTGATGGACACACAATTCAGGACATCTCTGCTGCGGTCATAGTTTCCCACGCAGCGATGAACTTGACCCCGGATGAGACGGGGGAGCTCCTGCTCCTGTTGGACAAAAAGCAGAAATTAAATGAAAGTGAGGGCAGGCAACTTTGGAGGAACCAGCTAGAGTAACATCCATATTGAAAGTGTCTGATTGGGAAATTTAAATTAAAGTGCATTGCCTCGCTTTTGATGCAGGAGAGTGTTGGGTGGAGGAGTAAAGCCAATTGTTATAATAAGGTAACTTATCAAACTTTTTTCACCTTTTAGCTCCTTTAAGACTCAGCTTAAGTGCAATAAGTGTATGGTCGGCGTTTAGAAGGTAAAATAGACAGAAAGACAGGTAAAGCCAGAATGATTTTTTTTTTTGTGTTTGCAACAGCCACAAATACTTTTTTGTTAGATATTTAGATTTATTGTCTGCTTTTGGGATGTGATGAGAACTTAAAAGTATTTTTAAAATAATTTGGTTTTTCAAATTAGATCCACATTTCTGTTTCATATTTTGCCAAAACTCTACATTTTTCCAAAATCCCAGTGGCCAGCCCTCAGCCCATATTAAGGGCTCATGGTGTTGCGTAGCACGGACAACTGCAAACTGGATGTTAAAGAAACGGGTTGTTAAGCAGGAGTAAGAGTGATACGTGTCATTATTAACCCCACCACAGGAAAACTGAGGAATAGAGTGGAAAGGGAGAAAAGTCCTGTTTTCATAGACAGATTATAATTCACTCAATTCATTCATTTTGAGTAAATTCATTCATTCAGCAATTTTAAGTTTGATAACATGCAAAGCCCTCAAGGCAAATGATAAGGATGATGGTAGCACAGCCATGCATACATCTTAACAGGTTTACTTGAATAATAAAGTTTACTTTTACAGTTAATATAGGATAGATATTCCACTTCCTCTTAAGAGCTCATGAGGATAAATTCATTCATTTTACTTCGTCATAGAAGGCTGTTTTACTCAACTCACATTTTCATAGAAAACACACTGCACGACCTGCTTCATGTCTCTCATTAGGAAGTTCTTGGCTCCGTGGCGACCCAGTGTGACTGCAGAGTCCAGAGTAGCTGAGGGAGCAGAACAGTCTATCAGTTTGATAATGTCCATAATTACTTGACAGTACTGACAAGTGACAACAGCAACTAGTGAACTGACCAAATATTTCAAACAAGTATGGGACTTTGTCTTTAAACTGGCTCCAGTGTCTCATGCCATCAATAACTGCTGTCACGATTCTCAGTGAGTTCTCAACAGCTGGTTTCACTGTAAATGTACCCTGTTGAGTACAAATGCAAAGGTTAAAAACAATAATAATACATTTAATGTCAAATGTGAAATCTTTAGAAATCATAAAAAGCTTCTTAAAGGGGTCATATTATGCTTTTTCTGGTTTGATATGCTCTTTAGTTTGTTTTCCATGTGTCCTGTGCATGTTTAGGCACATCTATGTTCAAAAATTCAAAGTCCGTGGAAACGCGGCTTCTCCCAAACCTCCTCTTCCGGTTCTAGCCCCCCTCGAAAAAAAATTGCCAGTGTGACGTCTTGTCAGTGTGATATCACTGATCTAAGCCCATTGGCTCGTTGTGGCAAGCTCAGCAGCTCATGTTGCACGCCCGTTAACTTCTGCAGCACGCTCACGATATGCGTAGCCTGCGGTAGCACAGTAATGCTAAGGTGCTAATGTTTATGCTACCCTCGAGCCAAAGTGGCTGCATTCCCAATATGGTAAAAGGGGCGTGACATTTCCGAGAACCGTGCTGAGTGACTGACCAATTACGGCAGAGCCGACAGGCTGACCAGTCAGATCAGACTTGGCACACGTGGGGACTCTGAACGTGGGCACTTCAGAGCCTTAGAGAGAGTCAGAAGCGAGCCGGTTCATGGAGCGGCAGTTCATGAAAACAGATACTTTTTTCGAACTTTAGCTATTGTGAACATACTTTAGTAGGTACATAGATTAAATATATGAACCCCAAAAAGGGCATAATATGACCTCTTTAATATCAACCTTAGTCTGATTTTGCAGAACAATCTTGGGTTGACTTGTGCTCCTCTTTCCATCAAAAGGGGGACATTGTGGGCCAAAGCTGTTGGTAAACTTCCAGGAATTTTTAGGTTGCAGGTCATGAGCAGGGGGCATGCTGGGTAAAGGGGTTGGAGCAGGGGAGGGTCTGGACTGCTGGGAATACTGATGTGTGGGATTGGGCAGTCGGTAAGATGACTGCTGACTCCTTTGAGAAAACGCAATATGAGGTGATGGCTTGCTTTGTCCACTCTCATTGATGTGGGGGTCCTGAAACTGGCTGTTAATGGACTTAGCACTGGGGCTGGAAGGCTGTCGTCTAACGGGGTTGCTGGGCTGTCCCATCTTTGAGCTGAAAATGAAAAAAACACCAACAAAAACAAAACAAATTCTTACATGTTGAGATCTAAAATTGTAAAACAGCACTCACTAAAGAACTAGTTACTGGTACATGTCACATTGACTTACACTGAAATAAAAAAAAATTGAATTTATTATATATAGAGAGATATTTCAGCGCTAGCCAGGAACAATCTCTATAATATTGTGAAAATAAGACAACTTTAAACTTCCAACTTATTACTTAAACAATACAAAGTTTGACAGAACAATCTAATTCAAATAGCTATAAGGTAATACAGAGTTTATCATTTTTCTTTAGCATTTGCATTGTTCATTAACTTGCATTTGAATTTAGACAAATAAGTCAAACCACTGTCAAGTCTTTATATCTGTCAAATAGACAATGAAATATACCTTGTGCCTCCACCTTTGTATGGGTGTGAAATAGGTGCATAGCTTCTCAAAGTAGGGGCAGGTCCAGGAGCAGGTCTGTTACCCCCATATTGCTGGGGAGGTGTAGATTGTGGGATACCCTGTCTGTTCCACTGAAGCCTTTGTGGAGTACTGGAGGACGGACCTGGGGTCTGGTAAGACCCATAGGTGCCTGAGGCTGAGGATAATAATATTATCAGAGTAAAATCTTGTTATAGCCTCTATTATACCTGGCTTTAAATTTATATCTTTATTCATAGCCAGGTTGTCATAATATTGTCCTTTTTTTGTGGAAAGTGGTCTAAATTGTGTGATTCAGCAAGGGATGGTGGTTTTAAAAAGCAAAACATACACCTCTTGTGTTTTAACTTGGTAATTTCTTATCTTACTTACTTTGTCTATTTATGTTTCGTATTTATAGTTAATTTTTATTTTTATTAATATTATAGTTTTGGGTTTTTTGATCCTTTAACCACTTGTTTTTATTTATTTTACTGCGCTTACCTTCTCATTGCTTTTTATTTGCTTTTATCTCTTAGTTTTTTACATCTTTTTAAATCTTTGGTCCTCTTGGTCTCAGCTCATGTTGTTGGGTTCTTGTGTTCCTGGGTTGTTATGATGGTTCTTATGATGGTTGGGTTATATATGTCTGTTTGTGTATCGTGCACTTTGGGTTCTTTTCTGTTGAATTGTATTTAATTATTTTTGGTATTTTGCAGCTGTTATATTCTTACTGTTGTTAATGTTTTTCTGTGTTTGGTTTAGTTTGCTTTGTTCTTGCTGTTTGTCAAAGCACTTTGTAAACCTGTGTTTTTAAAAGGTGCTATATAAATAAAGTTATTATTATTATTATTATTATACATTAACCTGTAACGAATAAGTCACACTGTCAATATACACAACCTGACAATAACAAATTAATATATCTTGCTAGTGCAACAACATTGGTATTTTGCCTTGTATGTACTGCCACCTAGAGGACGAAGCATAGAAACTAGATTAACCTTACTGAATTACCTGAACTGTTGTGAGACGAGGCTGAGCTCGTACTTGTCATGAATTCACAGTGAGAAAAGAATTCATTCTCAGATGGAGCAGATGTCAAAGGGACTCTGTTTCTTTTCTTCTGGTTGAAAAGTGGTACAGGCAGGCAGCCTAACAGAGACAAGAGAGGTAAAGTATAAACACATCACAGAACAAAAACACTCCTTGCGGATGAGTTACATTACAGAATTAACTTCAATATTCAAACTTAAATTATGTAATAAAAACGAAAGAATAAAAACATTTATACAAACCTGCTGTTGGCCTGTGTGTCTGGTTTTCCTGTCTTCTCATGATGGTGACACCTTACAGTCTATGACACGTCGAGCTAAGTGAAGAAACAGCTGATTAATCATACATACCATCATAACTGTGGCCTATTCATGGTCACTTGTTTGGATAAGGGACATATTAGAAAAAAAGGGTAGGCCTATGTTAACTTGTAAAGAAGACTTGGTGTGTGAAGCCAGTTTAATTTGCGTTAGCTAAAAGAAAGATTTAATTACCTTAAAAAGCTAATTTGGCGCGTCGTCGAGTTTGGTACCCTGAAGTTTATAAGTACAGCTACACAAACGGGTTGAAGATAGTTTTCTGTAAACATACACAGAGCGCACACATTGTACTATTATATCACATGTTTTGTTGGAGAAAGTGTAAAAAGTCTCACATACTGTAACGTACACGTCTTTGGTCTTTTCCAGTTCAGCACCTTGGAAAGCGTCTCGCGCCAACACTCGCTTGATGACGTTCGTTGCCTTCAAAGACTCCTGACAAGCTCGGAGGTTAGAGAACATTTTAGGTTTACAAATATATATATAGGTAGTCTGCTGCCTTTTATTTTTTAATTTTTATTTTTTACATTTCCACTTATTGTTGGATAATTGAAAAATGTTATTACGATTAGCAACTCAGGTTATACTTGGCCAAAAAGCGAAATCAAAAACATTGTTATGTCATTATATTAAACTTTATCTATTTTGGAAATACGAACTTTATCCTGTTTAACAATAGGACTGGCTATGAGTTTGCCTGAAAAGTTCACCATCCCTGCCCTCGATTAAATTAGGCTATTTGTGGTTAATCAGTCCTGAGAATAAACAGTAACCAACAATTTTGATCCTTTCTTGCAAAAGGGGGAACAGCCTACCAACATGAAGTCACGGATACTTCATTTATTTATTTGCCTAATTTGTCAGTGGAATAATGTGTCAATTGTGTGTAAGGCTATACAGTGTATGGTCTGGATACATCTGTTAGTCCCTCTAACTCATCCCAAATAGTACCCTTCTGGCTACAGCAAAAAGATAGTTCCCATTGAGGATAACTAAAATCTGTAAAAGAGGACGATATATTTATCTAATCTGTAACAGCCTAATTTGGCTGCCACGCTCTTTCCAAATGTGTAACCATGTGTCTACTTTGGTGAGTTTCAAGAGATGGACAGAAGCAAACAAAAATGGGGACAGCTATTTAGAGAGTCTATAAGAAAGGACCAGAGCAGAGTGGTACAGATGTTAGATCTGTAGCTTTGCTTTGCACACACCCTAAGCTAATCTCAGCCTCAGTGCATCTGTGAGATATCCTTGCTGAGACTCTGAAGGAAACTCTTTGGTCTAGAGAAGCATGGTGTCTCTGTCTTGTGTTAACGTGGACTGTGAATCCATGGCAACAGCAGTATGAATGGTCTATTGAGGATGGCCTCCACTGCACGCCCTTGCCTGTAAGAAACTGCTGTCTTTATAGACAAACAATTACAGTTGATAAGATTGTTTGGATAAGATTCTAGGTGAGAATCAAAACTCAACATGTCTGCTCCCCATACTAAACTCTTAACCAGTTTTGTATTTGGTTTGGAGTCATAAAACCAATTATTTGGTCAGAGAATTCTGACTGTCTTGGAGCCATTAATAATTTGAATTAAACAATAATTTACACAGGAACTGCTCAGATGTGTAGCTTCCTGATGTTTGAAAAGTTGTAATGAGGATGCTTTGTTCCTCTTATGTCACTAAAAATGTCTAAGGGGGCAATCATTTCACTTTCATTCGCCTACCTTTCATTGGAAATGTGGAATAGCCTAAATCATGCAACCTTAATCCTCGATTGTGAATGAAAAACAAAGTAATTTCTTCCATGGTTGCAGATTATGAGTTTTTCTCCCTGCAACGCTCAACATTGACAGCTATTTGCCTGGTGACAGGTGCAAATTGTATTCTCTGGTCCCCTCAAAGTACAATTTACAAAACAATAAAATGTGCATTAAAAGAGAAATTTGGAATTCAGTAGCTCAAGCAGTCTAGCTAAAAACATCGACATCTTATGTGTAGTGGCGATATAGCCTATAAATAACAAAAATTCCAAACAAATTATAAACTTAAGACAAACTCATAATAAAGCCACTGAGGCACCTTGAGGGCGAATCTTACTTAGGATATTTTAATAAGTCCATTGTCCAGGTGATGATTGAAGGTTTAAGGGTGGTTTATTTTATCCAGAGACATCAAGCAGGCAACAAACAACAAAAAAAGCTGCTGTCTCTCTTGCCCTGTCATCCTGCCATTGCATCCTGGCTTCCTGGTAAAAAAAAAAAAACATTAACCCATTAGGTGCCTACCTGAGTCTCACCTGGCTACCTGGCTATATAGACACACCCATGTACAGACTCCACCCTTATGCCCCAAGTAGCAAAATAAACAAATGGAAATAACTCATATGAATGTAAACAATAATTATAAAAATCCCCCGAACATAATCTAATATTAAAAAGTATCCCCAAAATAAGAATATAGACTTTCACTTAATTTAGGAACAGTGAATATCTGTAACACTATATACTCTGCCACCAAGTCTTTCATTTTAGGTTTAAAAAACATTTAAGGACACCAGTTTAACTTGATAATTATCTTCTTTACTAAACTGTGCATGTCCCCACATGGTGTACTGTAAATGTGGCTCAATAAAACATAATATATAGGGTCAACATTTCCCTGTAATCGAAAGGGATACATTTACAAACAGTAAGTAAAATCCACCAAATGTTTCTAGTCGTTACTTTATTAAATAATGTTATACAATGAATTCATGGCATACAAAATGACTGTTTTGTTGTTTTTTCAAAATAACAGAACAACAAAACCCTGACAGGTCACATTATGTCACATCTTATGAAACACTTCCTTACTTTTCCGTCATATTCTGGAAGTTTCTGTTCACTGGCTACATATTGTCCTTCGACAAAATTTAAACATGAAAGTGTATTCGGGGGTTTCGACGTCCTACACTGGCAACCTGCGTGTTGTTCAGTGGGAGGCGCCAGTCCGCAGTAGTTTCTGGAAGGAACCTCATGCGTGCACCATGGAGAAAGTGAGTATCCGGCAACTCCTTTTAAATAAATACCGTATTACCTACATATCAAAGATACATTGCGTATTATTGTATGCACTTAATCAAACGTATCTCTACAACAAGTATCCAGCCGTCAGTGTGGGTTCCTATTTGAATTGGGACTGAAGTGTTTGCTACATCCAGCCGCTAGCTAGCGTGTTACTTTAGCATCAATCCGGTATGAATGTGTTGCAGCAGTTTTGCGAATGACTTATTTTAAAATTATTTGACTTGATTGCGTCGCTACACGCGTGCACTTTTGACAACAAGTCTACAACGTGGCTCAGCTGTTTTCTCTGAACGAGTAAACTAAGCCGGGTTAAGTGTATTCACATAATGGTGCAACTCACAGTCGTAGCTCAAGTGAAGGTTAGCTAACTGTTAAGCTAACGCATTATGACTGTAATCAATCACAGCTGCTTTGTCATTGGAAATGTCATCGGACATTTGAGGTCTGACGTGATTGTAGCCCACACCACTGTCTTGATATAACAAAGCCGTCTGCTCACCCCTTGCTTATCACCGGCAGGATAACATTAGCACATCGGCGTTTAATGGCTCACTTTAGCTCCCGCTGTGAAAAGCTACCATTCACGAGGTGACGCTCAAAAAGTCTCATTTAACCTTTTATTATTGTTTTTTTTTTAAACGCTTTGCCTGAAATTATTTTTTTCGGTAGAGTCGCTGTTTAAACTGCGGCAGTGAGTGTGTGGCACATGCCGCAGGAGTATTTTTGGCTCGGCCTCAAGCAGCCTGCAGACAGACCGGAGGATCATTCCAGACGCACCGTCGCTGCTGTCATGGCTACAGCCGCATTTTGGCACCAACTTCCGCATCCTCTCGAACCTGAAGCCATTTGTCAAGTTTTTTTTGGCGTTTTTTATTTTTTAGATAAATCATGTTTTCTTATTATATTATTATTATTATTGTTATGCTCGAGCTGGCCAATAATAATAACTTATTTCCGGTTTCGTTGCCATAAGTGTTGTCCCGGTCCAAAGAGGGCACTGACGGGCAGAGGAGATATAACAAGGTTTTTTACTTAATCATTAAACGAGAACTTACAATTAAATTTTTTTTTTTTTTCATTGTTCTGCTGTACCACTGTGGATACCTTTCCACTATTTCCCAGTTTGGGATCAATAAAAGCAATTTTATTCTTTTCTACTTACATACTTTTTAACTTAGTAGTTACAGGCCACTTAAAAAGTATTACACTCATTTCAGACAAAATATATCCATGGTTTAAGACAAGGTTCCTTTTTTTGACAACAAATCTATAACTTTGTGTACATGATTTTGGATAATGGGTCACACACGCACCCCAGCTTCATAGTTATTCAAGTAGTCATCTGCTAAAATGACTTAACAGATAACAAATAAATAATTGATCAAATAATGAACAGGGTTTTCCATGGCTCAAAATGAAGCGGTGGTAGCTCCTTACCTCCCTTGTACATGTGCAGATGTACCGTGTATCGACACTCTGCTCAGCACTTGTACAAGCAGTATTCTAATAATTGTGGAGGTTAATAGGAGAAAGGACATCACACAATTAAAACCTTATTTATTATACAAATTAATGTCCCCTTCACATGGACTCTGATGAACATTGAAGACATAGAGATAACTTTACTTCTTCATCTCAGCTGTATTCTCACCTTACATCAGACTGATTTTAACAGTTTTCTGTCAGGCTGATTCACGACTTGTTGATCCTAACTGTCTAATTATGAACTCCTTGTCGCTCTATATGCCTCAGTGTGAATGTTATGAGTGACATACAGGAGTTTTAAGTTGTTTATGTCCGTTTATCATCAACGTTTTTGTCTTCAATGGTACCTCTACAATATATTGGCATGTTGGAGCATTTAAATCACACAAGACAACACTGAAACAAAGACATGGCGGCGCTGAATATTATATATACGTATTAAAATTAGACAGTGAGAAAGAGGAAAAGGGACAGAACGAGAGATGGGGGGGCTTATGTGTGTGGACAGAAGTGCAGACAAAACAAAAACGGCACATTTAATCATGAAGCCTTGTCTTGTTCTGTGTGACTCTTGGGTGTGTCAGTGAAGTTTATGAAAACTCCTGCAGCCTGGATTCTCTAACGGTCACAGCTGTCTCAAATGAACAATCCCTCCACAGGCTGGACGCACATTCAGAGATCTGCTTAGTTGTTTATAATTTTAGGACTAATTCATTGATAGCTACTATTAATTTGTTCCTCGATATTTGTACAGGACATGCCTGTACAGCTGTGTAGCCAAAAGCATCGTTTGGGTTTCTGATGCACAAGATTGATGACGATACAGTGCCGCCTCCATATCAGTGTATCAGTGTATAGCCGTAACTGCAGTTAGAAATCACAAATTCACAATGTGCTGTACTTGGAACTCTGTGTTCTCCATGAAAACACCCGCCGGACTTTGACGTGGGCTGGTGGTAAGAAATAAGGCGGTGACGGCCGGCTGTAATTTTTGAATGCTCGAAAACTCTGCTTACACTACATGTGATTAACTGGTTGAATCATTTGATTAACAAACAGGAAATGTACAAAATTGTACATTGTAATGACTGTTTTTAAGTTATTTGATAAACGATAATCCTTGCGTCACACAACATTTTGATGTTATAATGTTCTGCCTTTTAGTTCCAGTATTTTAAATTGTTCGGATGGGGACAATTCTTGTGACGTGTGTACCAGTCAACACACCATATGCTTTTATTGTTTTTAATTTTAATGAACTTTGTGTCTTATTGTGTGGTAATCAAAGCTTGAGGGAATTTGGAGCTTTTCTTTTTATAACAGACTTGATACTTACTGTATAACATCTGGTCAGTGTGTATGTGAATCTGTCAAGTGCAGTCGATACACAGCGTAATAACTTGTCAAAATAAAGCTGTTGTAATTCTGTACACACTAGATAGTCAAAAGAAAAGTGTTAATTTAATGTTTATATCTAGGGACCTTAACTTTAAAAAGGGGTTGTTATCTTTGACCACTTAAAAATCTTCCTAATGTAAGGCTAGCTGACCTCATTGCAATTGCTTCTACTCATTTGATCTTGTTTTTTTGTTATGCGTCGTATCCTTGATATACAAGTTATTCTAAATGTGTATCTAACATGAAGAAACATTGGAAGTGTTCCTCACAGCTGCACCTGTCTGACATGAACAGCTGAGTGGTTGTTGTTTTCATCCCTCAGTTCTGCCAGCAGCAGCTGCTAAAGATGTCTCCTCCAGAGCCAAACCTACATTGAGGATCGTTTTCTTTTGTGTGGGAGTAAAAGAGAAGACAGAGCAGGAGTGTTGAAGTGTTGTGAATTTGTATCTTACGGCTTAATTTGATTGGATCTTCCTGGATCACAGGTTTCAGCATTGAAAGACCAGGGCAACAAGGCCCTGAGTGCAGGGAACATCGATGAGGCTGTACGCTGCTACACCGAAGCTGTGGCCCTTGACCCTTCAAACCATGTCCTCTTCAGTAACCGCTCAGCTGCCTACGCAAAGAAAGGCAACTATGAGAATGCTCTCCAGGATGCCTGTCAGACCATCAAGATCAAGCCTGACTGGGGCAAGGTGAGAAGTCATTTGTTCACACCCATTATTCAGTTAAGAAGCAATGGATGGATTTAACTAAAAAGGACACTTCTTGTTCAACCAGGGTTACTCCCGCAAAGCTGCAGCATTGGAATTTCTTGGCCGATTGGAGGACGCTAAAACAACTTACCATGAGGGACTCCGACAAGAACCAAATAATCAGCAGCTAAAGGAGGGTTTACAGAACATTGAGGCCCGGCTTGCAGGTAAGAACTATGAGATTTATAATGTCTCTTATTCTAAAGTAAAAGTGGCACTACAATGTGAAAACTGAGTGAGTCACTTTTACCTCCTACATGCATAAAGGATTTAGAGATGGCTGCAGAGGGGATCACTAAAGTAAAATCACATTGTGAATGCAGGTTTTCAAAAGAGTAGGCAGCCCACTTGGGATTTGAGAGTTGTGATTCATTTAGACAAAGGACAAGTGATAGGGGGTAACTCAGGAGTGAAAACTGTCGGGAAGTTATTTCTAGACCAGTGAGACATGGCTGCGCATCCTGACAGCTTCTTTTGATCACATTCATCCTACTAATAAACATTTATTTTTTTATTCACCAGAGAAATCAATGATGAATCCCTTCGCCATGCCTAACTTGTATCAGAAGCTGGAGAATGATTCTCGGACCCGTGAGCTGTTGTCAGATCCAAGCTATAGAGAGCTGCTGGAGAAGCTAAGGAACAAACCATCGGAGCTTGGCACGTATGTGGATTTTCAAAAATATGTTGCCTTATCCAACTTTCTCTAAATTAGGATGAAAAACTTTGTCCTGAGGAAGGTATTTGGAACAAAAAAAGAATCCCCCTCACACTGCACTCTAATGTCGTCTAATGTGTGTAAACAAAATAATCTGAATCAGTTTGACCAGAGGGATTTTATTTTACCCTGCCAGTTCAAAGTCTGTGTAATATAAAAAAAAAAAACTTAAGATGATTAGCATAAATTGTGAATGTGGTGCCCATATCAGTTTAAAAACAGTCATTTTGTGGATGACTCCTCTTCCTGCTGCACACTGTCATATATTAAGACCCACCCCTATTCAATACACTTGTAAGATATTGACGAGTATCGTCATCTGTGTTGTTACTAAATCATAAATGTGTACAACTGATAAGGGGACAAAGTAAACAAAAGAATCGAATACATTCTGTAAAAATCTTAAGTCAGCTTGTAAATCTTTCAGTTGCCGTGAATACTGTTATAGTGGAAATGAATTGTTCCTGTTTTGCAGAACGCTGCAGGATCCCAGAGTGATGACCACACTCTCTGTGCTGCTGGGACTGAATCTCTCTGAGATGGAAGAAGAGGAGGAGCCCACTGCCCCTCCTCCCCCAAAACCCAAAGACACTCAGCCGCCTCCTCCCAAAGAGGAAGACCTTCCTGAAAACAAGAGAAAGGCAAATCCCTTCATTACACCCTTCACCTAAATCAATTTTCAGTCATATTGTCCCTCCTAATGAATTTCTATTCTTACTTTTTAATCCTCTTATTTCCATTTTGTCACAGGCCTTAAAGGAAAAGGAACTTGGAAATGAGGCATACAAGAACAAGGACTTTGGAAAAGCTCTGAAACATTACGAAGAAGCAGTCAAACACGACCCCACCAACATGACGTATATATCAAATCAAGCAGGTATATATTCTCAAGTGTTGGAAAACACACACGTCTGATCAGAATGACCCTTAATGTGCGGATGATTTAAATTACTTAAAATAAGTAGAATGGATCTGATTTTCTGATAAGAGGAAATCACCACACCAGTCAGATTTTATGATTGGTTTAAGTAATTGCTGCTGTGTTTCTCACTACAGCTGAAACTGCACTTTGACGAAAAACAAACATATTTTAAATGCAAATGATGTGGGCTTAGAGGCTGCTGACAGAGATTCTGCGAATAGACCAAACATTGTGACCAGTAGTCTTTTTTTTTTTTTTTACATTTTGAATGTGATCCCTTCAGCTCAGTTCAACCAGGATGTATCACCAACATAAGATCTTAATTGTATACTTTAAATATTAAATGTGTACTTCTTTTTGATTTCCCTTTAGCTGTGTTCTTCGAGAAAGGTGATTATGATAAGTGCAGAGAGCTGTGTGAGAAGGCTATCGATGTTGGCAGAGAGAACCGGGAAGACTACAGACAAATTGCAAAGTGAGTTCTGCAAGAAAGCATTTTCCTTTACTTGACTGTACCTGACTTAACCTATGATTGAAGGCAGGACCGGTCTGTGGGTGTAGCTGGATGTCAGTATTTAAATCCACACGCCAGCATTTGACAACAGAAGTAGTGTTATACAAGAACCATTTGGTGGCAGTGTTGCTCCACTTTTCTTAATAGAATTTTGCTTTGGCAAATGTCTCGCTTTTGAATAAAGAACCATAGGCAATAAAGAATCATTTTCTATTGAACTGGAGCGCTCAATTCTGGTGCACATGCATGATTGTTTGACTGTCATGTATGCTTACATACACAAGTTCGATTTGGCTTCGGTGAACTGTGCTCTCAGTGTTTAAAAGTATAGCATTAAATATTAACATAAATAAGCAAATAATGATATATGCAAGGCTAAATAAGACAATAGTGCAGTGATGAGTGTTGCAAAAATGCTGAGATGAGATTGTTAGTAAATATGTAACAGATTGTTTATGTACACGAGGAAGAGTTTTACATTATTAACAACAAAGATGTGCATGAGGAGGATAATATTGCAGTATTTACATAAAGATTAACATAAGAATGTGTTTAAAATTGTCTTGTTATTTGTTGGTGACAGTTCTAGTTACGAAACTGTCTTCACCCTGGTTAAAGAGGTGTCTCATTCACAGGCTGAAAGATGCCACTATGATGCATTAACATTTTTTTATCTTCACCTTTCTCTCTTTTTTTTTTAAAGGGCTTTGGCTCGGATCGGCAACTCGTACTTCAAGCAGGATAAATACAAAGAAGCTGTTCAGTTTTTCAACAAGAGTTTGACAGAACATCGCACTCCTGACGTCCTGAAGAAGTGTCAACAGGTGCAGCAGTGCAAGCTTAACTGAGCTCTTAGAGTCAAACTAGATCATATGTTTTCACTCATCCCGATCATTTGATTTGAAATACTTAAGAAGTTGTCAGACCTGAATGTGTACAGGAAATGTTAATTGTAATTGTCTCCACAGGCAGAAAAGGTACTGAAGGAGCAGGAAAAACAGGCCTACATCAACCCTGAGTTAGCCCTGGAAGAAAAGAGCAAGGGCAACGACGCCTTCCAGAAAGGTGTGTATGGTCGTTGAGGCTCTTGTTGGTTGATTATTCATTATGATTTCTACAAGAGCTTGTATAAATCTGAACTCCTCTAAAAGATCTATTATAAATGTTAAGTGCCCTTTTCTGTGCTACAGGGGACTACCCATTAGCCATGAAACATTACAGCGAGGCCATCAAGAGAAACCCCCTAGATGCAAAACTGTTCAGTAACAGAGCTGCTTGCTACACAAAGCTGTTGGAGTTTCCACTTGCCCTGAAGGTACGTTTCATCATAATTAAGCATTTCAGTGACAGTGAGCTCGTTAATGCGCCTCTCAACTTTGTTTAATGGCCTCATGAAAAACTTTTTCAGGATTGTGAGGAGTGCATCAAACTTGAACCAGCTTTCAGTGAGTTTGAAAAATTCATACTTTTTCCCATTTGATTGTAATTTCACATGAGGGACTTTTATAAAGAAGTGTTTTGAACTTAAAAGTCTTTATGTGTGTTTTGGTACAAATCACTCTGATTTAACACCTAACTTTAACACATCTGCCCACAGTTAAAGGCTATACACGAAAAGGAGCTGCCTTGGAGGCCATGAAAGATTATTCAAAAGCTATGGAGGCATACCAGAAGGCCCTGGAGCTGGACTCTTCCTCAAAGGTATTTCACAGGTTACTACTCAGAAACGTTTGGGAAAAATACTTGAAATGTCAAGTCGTAAAACATACTAGCTGTATCAAAAAGACTGCTAATTGTTCGCTCCATTTAATTAACCTCATCACTTTGCCTTCTCCTCGTTCAGGAAGCCACGGAGGGCATGCAGCGTTGTATGGTGAGTCAGGCCACGAGGAATGACAGTCCTGAGGATGTGAAAAAACGGGCGATGTCTGATCCTGAGGTGCAGCAGATCATGAGTGATCCCGCCATGCGCATGATCCTTGAGCAAATGCAGAAGGACCCGCAGGCACTCAGCGAGTAAGTTTGCAAGCTTTTGTGTAGTTTTAATGTTGACGGTTCATGCCTCCATAAAACTTTTACTGATGGAAAGAAAATTCATGAATGTTTTTCATTTTTGATCCGCAGCCACTTAAAGAATCCAGTTATTGCTCAGAAGATTCAGAAACTCATTGATATCGGACTGATAGCCATTCGTTGATGAGAACCAAGATGCAGATGTGTGAAAAACTCCAAGACAACAGTGGAACGAATCCCTCCAAAATATTACACCCTCTTTCTCAAATTCAAAATTATACTGTCCTCAGTCTCACTGAGACTTTGTGTGTATGTTGTTTTTTTTTTTTTAAATCAGTTTCACAACTTTTACATTGTATTTAAAAAAGAAAGCATCTTGTTTGTCTCGAGGACAAGTTCAAGTTTCCAGGACACCTAAATTAAAAACTGGATTCATGTAAAATGCTTCAATACAATTCAGTGCACTAGCACGCGCAGTGTTTGAAGGGGAAGTGTACCCTTAAGCAGTTCACATATTCTTGTTGGTTCGTGGTTTACTGATACGAAATGAGAAATAAAAGAATTTATTCTCAGAAAATCAAGATTGTAATGTAGATCACAACTCAAACTTTCAACAATGGTCTTTTTAACTCTGGTGTTGTCCACTTTAAGGCCTGACTAAACATGGTGCTTTAAGGTTTCGGTGTCCATTTTGTTTTTCTTATTTTTTTTTTGTTACTGGCAAAGATTTCTGGTGGAAAGCTGAATCTATCCTCACCTGACTTCTCACATGCAGGTCATGGATCTTGTAGGTGTGCTAGATATTTCTGTTTTATCTGAAATGATTTGAAGCCCCATTTTTTTTTTGAGATACTGCTGTCTTTGGCCTAATAGTTAAAAGATCAATGTGTACAGTTAACATCAGAAAGGGTCGGTGTTTCCTTGATTGCTGGAGAAGGAATCCAGACAAATAGTGGAACGATACATCCCAATGTCCTTAAAGAATCTAGGGATGATTTGCCATGATAAAACATTGAACCATTATTAAACAAGTTCATACAACACTTAGGCTGCCACGTTATTGACTCTGTGTTAGTCATGTTTGACCTTGGAGACAAAGCTGTTTGCAAGTTGAAATACAGAAAGATTATCAGAACTTTGCCGAAACTATACATCTCTATGAGCAACCAACACACCATCTTTTAAGTGATTACCTTATGGCTGCTTATCAGTAACTCTTAAGCCCAGCAGATACGTTTTACTGGCTGAAATTGTGTTTTCCCAGCCTCGAAACTTGCTGTGCTAAATGTGACTACTTACCTGGCTAGAATATGACAGTTACAGGTCAGATATATATTCCTAAATTAGCATCATTTGGTTGGCTATCTCACTTCATGGTGAATTTTGAACACATTTAGTCTTGGGGCACTGAGCCCCAATGCTATGCCACTTACAAGACACTGCGTCCTATAATTTTTTCAGACAAATGGCCAATCTGGATGAAGTGCAACTTGGCCAACCTTCTAATGCATAAAAACTACTTATCTTCCATTTGAAGAGTTCAGAAAATGTACTTTATTGTTAATGTTATTGAGCAGTATGCAACATGTGGCTGCAGATACCTCAAAGTCACCATAATGTCTTCAAATCCACGTGCTTTGATTATCAGGAGGGACTTGTCTTAACATCTACACATCGGATGTTTTGGAATCATCTGTAACTTTGGTCACACGTCACAACAGAAATTTCCGTGTGGACAATTTTGATTGAATTCCTTTGTAATAACTTAAGGGCATCAAATGGGAAGTCTCACATTGTAAAGGAACTTTTCTTAAAAAGTGTAATGGTGAAATATACACAATCAATGTATTTGGAGGGCCAGTGGTTGCTGTTTTCTTTGCAGACTATGACACTGGTTTATTACAAAGTTGTTGGTAGGTGGGATTTGAACATAATATAGTTCGCACACCAATCAGTGTAATTGATAGGTTATTATAAATGCCTATGCAATATTTATGCATTTAAGTTGTTACATTTAAAGCCTAAAATGACATCTTAAGCATATTGTTAATAGATACTTGCAGGATATGATGGAAAGTACGCCTGTAGGCTGTGTAGCTACAGCTTAAGTTAATGCCTTTATCATAAATCTCTGTACAATGCATTCAGTGTTCCTGTGAGTTGTTATTTTAAAACTAATGTGAGGTGCTTATGACCTTTTTTTTTTATAGAAATAAACTTAAGGCAGAGAAGCTTTTCTTTAATCACGCAACATTTCTCAGTTCATGTATAGCTTTTTGTCCTCCTACGACCCCATCACTAGACTCCCAAGACCTCAGGAAGGTAGGTGCTCAGGACTTGGTAGACATACACAACTTTGTGTCCTCTGGGACATGGAGGTTATTGTTGTGATGTTAAATTCTCTCTTATTGTTGAATTAATGTGTATTTGTTTATCCATATATTATAAAAAAAAAAAAAAACCTTTGGGTGAAATATTCCGTACCATTATTAAAAGAAGGTATTTTCTGGTCCAGTTCGTCTGAGGTCTCGAGCAACATAGCTCCGCCCACATCGCCGCTTCACGTGACTGACCGTCGCCCAGGTTGTGTCGAAAGCATCCTGGTGTTAGCAGTTAGCTAGCTGTTGACAAAAATATATTTACCTCTGTATGCACATTTAAAAAAAAAAAAAAAGGGCGAATTTTTATCGTGGCTTTAGAGAAGAGAAAGAAGATAAAGAGCGACCCAGGCTGGTCTCTTCCGACGTGGTTTGACTGCTGATATCTGAAGAGGCTAACTGAAATAGCTAACTAAACATTAGCTTTAGCGAAGGTTCAAACTTTGACGAGCAGCAGCAGAAATTGACGAGCTAGCTGCTTGTTGCGAATGTAAACACTGCCATTCTAGATGGACTAATAACATGTGGTGTTATTGTAGGTTTACTAACTATCATTGTGTGTTTACGTGCAGGTAGTTGACGCGTTAATTTGTTATAAAAGTGTTAACATTACTAAGTGAAGATCGCTAACTTATGAATGGATAGAGAGCTGTGGATGCTAGTGTTAGCCCTTTAAACTTCACGATAGTACAAACTTGACAAAGAAAAATCACAACATATTAACCAGATGTTGTCTAAAGAGCTAGACGTGTGTGTTTTCTGCTTTGTTTCGGTCAGTCACTTGAGATAAATAATGCGAAACAGCAGGATGTCAGATGTGTGTGGATTAATGTCAGGGCAGCAGAAAAACACATCTGTCCGCTCATTTCGATAATCCCTGTGTACCGTGTGTTACAGATGCAGTAGAGTTGTGTTATTGCTAAGCGTGTAGTGTGTTAGACTTTAATTTAGGAATATATTCGGACAGTCACTCGGTTTCTTTTTACATAGTTTTCAAAGGGCTGTAGTCTACTTTACTTGTAGTTATGCCTGGAGACGCTTCTGATAGCAGCGATGATTCTGATGCAAAAACAAATGAAACAGCCTGCACGGTCAAGCATCAGATCACCAATGGTAAGTAAAGTGTGATGTTTGTCAACAAGCGCCTTATAAACAATGTGTAACCAGAGGAATATGTGCCCCTTGACTCATTCAATCAACAAACTCTTTTTTTGATTTAATCTTTAAAGTATTATTAGGTCAACATTTACTGCGGGTGGGAAATACACGCGGTTTTAGTTTTATGAAATGTTAATTGAAACGTGTTATATTTTAAAGTATTTTTAATGAAGAAGAAGAAACATTTTTTTTTTACAGGATTGAACTAAATATAAACAGTTCAATATTTTTACAATTATAAAATATACATATGCGGTGTAAATATTTCCTTTATGTATATATTCTTACATTTTTTACATCAAAGTTGAAACGTTGTGTTGCCTTCAGTCCAACAGGTGTTTTTTTCTTCTTTTCTGTCACTTATGTTTAATTTGATTTTGTTCCTTTCAGTATGCATTAAAATAATGAATTTGGAAAATGTTACCCCACATGGGTCAACATTTCAGAGCATGTGTGGCGTCAAAACCAAGTGCGAGGGATCTGTAAACAGTGACTCTTGACTAGGTTTGAGTCTAAACTTTCATCGCTTTGTGAGATGTGGACTAAAGAAAAAACAAGTTGTTGTGACCTTACAGTGTGTTTATTAACATGATACGAAAGGATTTAAATTCTAAATCTACAAAAAAAAAGAAGCCAGATTCACATAAAGCAGATGATTGCTGCTTTGTTCTTGGTCTGTTAGTTCAAAATGTCAGATGAGTCATTTGGTGGTACTGTATGTTTTTACCCGGCTGTCACAGCAGAAATGTATTACTGTACTTACTGTGATTGATAAGGGTGTGGATATAGATCAGAGTGCAGCCACCTTTTAATCTACACAGAGCAGTACAACAGGCAGCATTTTCACAAGTTGCGTTAGAGCAACTGTTGTATAGTACATCTTGTAAACACTGGCTAACATAAATGAAAACATTACATGTATTTTTAATGTACTTGATTTAGACCCAAATGAATTTTGATTATGTAATAGCAGGAACTTAATTTGGAATAAGAAGCTGAACACAGTTCATGTTTTGCATTAAATTGACTAATTTGAATCTTCCACCTCTTGAATGTGGCACAGTGGTCTTTACACAATAAAACAAATCACTCATACAGATCTGGGATGTGCCACTTGCCATTTTAAAACTATGTTTGAAGGATTAAGAAATTAAACATATCTTCCTTATGGTCTAATCATAGTTTTTTATTTTTGTCACTAGCTAACCTCACAGGTCACACTGAGAAGGTCGGCATGGAGAACTTTGAGCTGCTCAAAGTGTTGGGCACTGGAGGTAGGTGTCTTCAAAAAGCGTCAAATATGTTAAGTATAGATGCAGCTGTTGTCAAACCTGACAACAAATTTTTCAGTAAGATGTCATTATGAGGTATCCCCAATGCGCACAGGAAGTGTTTTCCTGCCATGGTTTAATATCTTGAGGGGAAAGTGTTTCTAATTAGATTTCTTATCTTGTAGAGAAAATGTCCCAGGAGGCTTAAATGTTGTGGTAAAGTATTTCTTTACATAGTGATTTGGGATATGCAAATCATCAAAACAGCATGAGTAGTATGTGAATGTTTATAAGGGAGACCATATGCTGTGGATGTCTCTGTTATTAGTTCTCATGCATAATGAATACCTTTGAGAGATCTGAGAGGCTGCTTCTATCAACAAAACGATGACTGATCCCTTTCTGTTGTGAAGGATTGTGTCTGCATATGTATTCCAGATAAGTTTCATACTAAATATAAAATGTTGCTTTCTCTTTGTCTAGCTTACGGGAAAGTGTTTTTGGTCAGGAAAAACACGGGTCATGATGTGGGACAGCTTTACGCTATGAAGGTAAGAATCATTTATGATTTACTGAAAGTGATCACGGTGTAAAATAATCCTGAAGAGAGTCACTGAATTAAGTTTTAAATTCAAGTACGGACTCTTTGAAGAATGTAAATGGTTCACAGATGGTGATTTATTGACATGTATCTGTGATGTGCCGCAGTGGAGGTTGACTGAGCTGCTATTCAACAAATGCCTACAGAGGAAAAGTAGAAGAAATGTATCAATCTACTATTTCCTTTGATTAACAGTAATAACTTGTGAAAGTACTATTAATAAAAACAGTTAAATAGTACATCCAGGTAATAAATATAGTAATAAGGAATACTAATTAGAGGGACATTTTTCTTCAAAAGTACAAATGTCTCAAAAGAACCCAAAATTAAGAAAAAAAGAAGCAAAACGTAATTACCCAGCTAGGTGTTGTACACTGGACGGACCAGGTTAAAATATATTTCAGTACATGGTTTCAGATCTTATGGAATATACCCTATCTTTGTCTCAATGAACATTGCTTAGTTTTTTTTTTTAAAGATGTAATTACTTTGCCAAATCTGTCAAACACAATATATGTATGTGGACAGCGCCTTTAGTTTTTTTGTTATAACTATAAAACAAAGAGTAATTTGTAATCATGACAGGCGAAAGATAAGAGGTTTCTTGCTCTCAGGAGGATGTTTGTGAGTGCATC